TGCTGAAGCCTGGCTTGGAGAATTTTGAGCATTACTTTACTAGCGTGTGAGATGAGTGCAATTGTGCGGTAGTTTGAGCATTCTTTGGGATTGCCTTTCTTAGGGATTGGAATGAAAACTGACCTTTTCCAGTCCTGTGGCCACTGCTGAGTTTTCCAAATTTGCTGGCATATTGAATGTAGCATTTTCACAGCATCATCTTTCAGGATAGGACACCACCTGATATACCATATAAACTTTGATCATGTTGCTTATTATTTATGAACCTGTTTTTTCTATAATGTTAAAATAATAACTATCTTTCAGAGTATTCAGATTATTAAAAGTCTTACTTTAAATAGAGTGTTTAAAGGACACATACACAAAAATATGGAGCTTCCCCAGAGCTCAGTAGTAAAGAGTTTGCCTGCAATGCAAGAGACATGGGAGACATGGGTTCAATCCTTAGGTCAGGAAGATCCCCTCAAGAAGGAAATGGCAACCCACTCCAGTATTCTTGCCTGGAAAATCCCATGGACAGAGAGGCCTGGTGGGCTACAGTCCACAGGGTTGTAAAGAGTTAGACACAAGTGAAGTGAGTGAGCATGCACACACACACTCAAAAATATAATGCATCATTAACTATTTGCATTCGTTAGGTGCAAAAAAAACTTTACTAGATACATTCAAACAAAATGAAAACTTATTAACTCACATTAACAGAAACCCAGAAGGGGTGGATTAATCAGCATTGCTTAATTCAGTTGTTCAGTTGTTCATCCAAGACCCAAATTCTTCTCTAATGTGTTTCTTCTCTATAGGATGGGGCCACCTGTGTCTGGACAAGATCAAAGTTCTGTTAGTAAAGATGGAAGAAGGAGGGAAAATAGATGTTAGACAGCCAAATGCACCTGCTACGCTATTAGTAAAGTCCATGGTAATAAGCAGCTACTCAACCTCTCTGACAGCACACAAGAATGGAAGGGGACCAGAAAGACTCTTGAGGAAGGTGAGGTGGGATCAGCAGAGCAAAATCAGAACAAGAAAAAAAAATACCCTTTACAGAGACCAACAAAGAGAGGCTGTTATTCCTGATGACAGTGATGAGCTTGCAGAACAATTCCGTAGCTCTTGACAACAGCTTCTACTTCACTTCCAACCTCACAGAACATGCACTAGCTGTTCTTCATGCAGGTCAGTTGTTCCCCACTGACCAAGACAGTAGTTGCCAGGGTGGTGCAGTTGCAAACAACAGACAGCAACTCTGGCTAAATAATTGCAAACAGGAATTCAGAGGGAAGCCTCTTGGAATCAATGGGCATGTTGTACAACCAGTCTTTTTTTTTAAGATATAGCTGATTTATAATATTAGTTTCAGTGGTTCAATATTTTTACAGGTTAAAGTCCATTTAAAGTTATTACAAAAGAATGACTCTATGTCCCTGTGCTAATATGTCCCTGTTGGTTATTTATTTTATACATAGTATTTTGTGTCTGTTAATTCCATACCCCTATCTTGCCCCTCACTCTCTTCCTCCTCTCCATGTAACCATTAGTTTGTTCTTTATATCTGCAAGTCTGTCTGTTTGTTTTATATATCCATTTATTTTTTAGATTACACCTGTAAGTGATAACAAAAGAGTATTTGTTTTTATCCACCTAACATCTCACCAAGCATTATTCTCTCTAGGTCCATCACATTGTTGTAAATGGCAGAATTTCATTTTATGGCTGAGTAAAATTCCATTGTATACAAATATATCACAGCTTCTTTATCCATTCAGGCTTTTCTGATGGCTCAGACTATAAAGAATCTGCATGCATTGCAGGAGACGCGGGTTTGATCCCTGGATCGGGAAGATCCTGTGGAGAAGGAAACAGCAACTCACTCCAGTATTCTTGCCTGGGAAATTCCATGGATGGATCCACTTGTTGATGGACATTTAGGTTGCTTCCATACCTTGGCTATTGTAAATAACGCTACTATGATCATTAAGGTGCAAGATTCTTCTCCTTTGGATACATACCCAGGAGTGGAATTCCTGGATCCTATTGTAGTTCTATTTTTAGTTTTTTGAGAAACTTGCATACTATCTTCCATAATGGCTACATCAATTCACAGTCCCACCAACACTGTATCAAGATTTCCTTTCTTCCATATCCTCACCAACATTTATTATTTGTAGACTTTTTGGTGATAACCATTCTGACAGGAGTGAGGTGGCATCTCATTGTGGTTTTGATTTGCATTTCTCTGATAATTAGTAATGTTAGCTGTTTTTCATGTGCCTGTAGGCCATCTAAATATCTTTACAGAAAAATGTCTTTTCAGGTCTTCTGCCCACTTTTAATTGGGTTCTTTGTTTGTAATAATGAAAATTATGGAAACAAAGAAAAATTAAGGAGAAACAATTCCATTTATGATCACATCAAAAATAATTAAGTATTAATAACTAGGAATAAACTTAACCAGGGACGTGACATACATACATTCTGAAAACTATAAAACACTGATGAAGGAATCTGAAAACAACACAAAGAAATAGAAAGATAGCCCATGTTCTTGGACTAGAAGAATTAACACGTTAAGACGTCCATATTACTGAAGGGAATCTAAAGAAGTAATGCAATACCTATCACAATACCAATGACATTTTTCACAGAACTAAGAACAAGTAACCACAAATAACCCAAGTTGCCAAAGCAATCTTGAGAAAAAATAACTAGGCTGGAGGTATCATACTCCATGAGTCAGACCATACTACAAAGCTACATTAATCAAAGTAGTATAATTTTGGCACAAAAACAGACACATAGATCAATGGAATAGGATAGGCAGCCCAGAAATAAATTCACACACTTTGTCAATCTACAACAAAGGAGTCAAGAATATACAATGGAGAAAAGATAGTCACTTTAATAAATGGTGCTGAGAAAACTGGACAGCTACATGTAAAAGAGTGAAATTAGAACTTTCTCAAACACAATATACAAGCAAAACTTCAAAATGGATTAAATGTGAGATCTAAATGTGAGATCTGAGACCACAGAACTCCTAGAAGAGAAANTTCCTGACCATCTAAAATTCTCAGTGGATCATAATCGAAGTTGGTCCTTCTCCAACTTTAACACGCAGGAGTCACTGGGGAAGTTGTGAAAATATAAACTCTGATTTTAGTGGTCTGAATGTTTGGTCCTTCTAACAAGTTTCAGATGATGCCAACGCTGCTTGGTCCATGGACATTTTGAGGAGTAAGGCAACACCTTAGCAAATCAAATAAGACACATAGGAAAAACACTGTATAATTCCACTCATATGAAGTACCCAGAACAGTCAAATTCATGGACAGGAAAGTAGAAGGGTAGTTGCCAAGGTCTGGGAGAAGAGTTTAATGGATACAAAGTTTCAATTTGGGATGAGGGATGGTGGTTGCACAACATAAATGTACTTAATGCCAGTGAATTATATACTTAAAATTTTGTATTTTACCATAATGTTGTTCAAAAAACAACTGAGAGAAAACAAAAAGGCACACATTGACCTTGCCAAGTGGAGTCTGCAACAGGGGCCCAGGGTTGGCATTGGGCACAAGAGGCTGCACCTCCTGGTGCCAAAGTCAAGGGTGGCATTAATGCAAACCCTGCCAGGCAAGCTGACATTGGATAGTAGTCAGGGGCCTGAACATCAGGCAGTTTCTGACCTAATCAGAGGGCTTCTGTGAGACACAAGTTGCTTGTTAAAAATCTGCAGAGCTTGAAGCGGATTTAGCTTGTACATGTAAAGCACATTTTCTGATTCAAACAAGCTTCATTCCTCTCACCTAAGATCCCAGATAAGGGTTACTATTGGAATGGGAACATTTTAGCTTGAAACTGAAGCTTTTATGGCATATAACGTGGTTCCTCCCAAAGTGAAGTATACCAGCATCTGACACCCAACATCACAGTGATAGTGAAACATCTACATTCACTGAAGGAACTCTCACCCAGCAGTGCCAGCTAAGTTTGCACCAGTTAAAAGGATGATGTTTGGAGGTGAAGCCCTTTATTACTGACCTTTCAAATTTTGATGATCTATTATATACTAAAGCAGCAGATCATCTACAAGACAAGCAGAGTTTTCAGAATACATTGAGGACTACAGTAAACCTTACTCCAGATGATACAGATTTTAGGATCAGCAATTGTACCTTAAATGCCTCTGTAACTTAAAATGAGTTAACATTTCCTGTCCTTATCTCTGCACCTCCTTTACTCTCTGGATATTATGAGTCCTATAACCACATAATGAAGATGAAAAACTCTGCAACTATCTATTTGTGATAGAGAACTCAGTAAAGAAACGTTGGGGTTCAAAACTGGTCCGCTTACTCTTCCAAAATCAAGCTATACAGACTGCTGATGCTTGTCAGAAATTTTACTCACCTCAAAAATCAGATTAGAGCTTCCTTACCTTTTTGGGGAACAAAATCAGTTCCCTGCACCAGTGATTCTAAAGTTCAGTGTGACCCAGATGTTGGCAGTAAGAAACTTGCTATAAACAGCAATTTGATGTGAATTCTTTCAGCTTTTCACCTATGTTGGCTCTCCTTAGATACCCTAAAACTTCCCTAGACTGCATACAAATATTTGGTGTATATCTTACTGAAAGAAATGCCTACATAAGAGTTTGGAATGAGCTTTTCTTTTTCTTTCCCTATTCTTTTAGTTTGTAGATACAAGTCAAGCAACCATGAAAATACTAATATTGCTTATGCTGTCCAAATGCCACAAATCTGCCTTTTAAAAACTCAGAGCCCATTTTTAGGTCTAGATGTGGCAAGGAAGTTTTAAAGCCCTCTGTAACTGAGTGAGTGAAAAGTAACTATATACATCTTCCCACTCTCACTCTCCCAATCTTGTGCCCTACCACACTGCCCAGAGGACATGTGGCTGGAAGCCCAGTCAGGGCTTGGGGGCTTCTGCTGCCTCAGTGAGACTGTGAATCAGCACGTAATGCCTACAGAGCTAATAATTAAAGACCAGCCTCCTACTGTCTTGTGGAGCAGGACCGATCCTGGAGAATGAACCTGATGTCTGGGGCTACCTGAAACAGTACTTGAGCCAACCTGTGTCTGTTGTTCTGAGCACCAGAAATCAGCAGTGGTGTACGGTCGGCCAGGTTAGTGGCCTTCAGAGTGAGGACAATGAAAACAGGGAGACAGACTTACTGCAGGTGTTCAACATGTGAACCAGTGAAATTAAACACAAAATAGATGCTTGTATGGTTTTAAACAAAACAAAATGAGCCCATTCCCACCTGTTATCAGCAAATCTGTGCTCCTGCTACTGAAACTATTCTCAAGTAAAAGACTAGTGAATAACCCCACGGATGTGATAGTACATTTCTGATTATTCTCAGATCACCTTCTATCTTGAACAATCTTTTTTCTCACCATAGTAGACACAGTCAACCAAAACTGTGACGATCATTTCTAACATGACTTTGATTACATTTGCAAATGTCTTGGTGATGATCATGGATGGAATCACTCTCATCAGCACAGGTTTATCTGAATCCTAGGAAATTTTACATTAAGTAATGTGGTTCTTCAAACTCTAGGTTTTCTCCTTTGGTGTCATTTTAACCACCTTGACACAATACATTCATTTCCCTGGATTATCTCTTTCACTGAGTTTTCTCTCCACTATTCGAAGTCCATGAGGAACAGGTCTATGCAAATTTAATTCCTACCTACCTCACTATCTCTAAGAGATTACAAATTTTAAGCTTTTATCTCCAGGAAGAACATAAAAGAGTTTCTATCAACACACCCTATTACCTCTCTAAAGTCACATGGAAGAACAGTGAAGGCTTCATTCTCACCTCTCCCCAAACCCAATAGGTAAACCATCTAATAACAAAGTCCCATGTTTTTACTTGAGGGTAATTTTGAGAACAGAGCTCATGCTCAGCAAGGATGAAACACAGCAGCTTTACTTACAAATACTTCACCCATAAAACTATCCCAGTTTCATGAGATTTTAGCTAAACAAAACTTGCAGAGCACAAAAGTACATAATTGATTTAATTTAGTTTCAATACAATCAGTAATTGATCCATAACTTCTAAGTGGCAGCAGCCACCAATACAGTAAACAAATATTTACCTTAAGTTTCAACTAGCTACTCTGGGGGGCTGGGGAAGCACACACAAGAGTAACAGGCTCTAAGACAGACACCTTGATGACTTACGTAAGTGACATGTCTAACTGCACATCACACACATGCTTCAAAAGACAAGCCAACGATGAATCAAATTTTATTTCACTGACCGGTACTTCTCTCTCTGATGCTGTATTTACACTCTTCAGAGTGCCTAAAATAGCACTCAGGTTTCCTATGTCCAGAGATAGGGACCCAGAGGCAAAAACGATCAGGCCCCCAGCTGTTTTCAGGTGGGAAGGTGGCAAACATTCCTATGTAGGCCTATGTCAGTTTTTAACTGAACTGCTTTTAAGCTCTCCATCCTGAACCTCTTCTATGCCATCTATGACAGAAATACATCCGTCCTCATCCACACAACTCCACGGGGATGGCGGTAGTGAGGGGACATTACACAGGTACCAGCCAAACTTCTCATTCAGCCAGAAACTGGACTTCTGGCTCAGTATAATAACAAGGAGATGCACAAAACTGTGGTGAGTGTCCTGGCTCTTCCTCAAGGTGGGCTGGACTGGATGTAAATGGAAGTACTGCTCATGATAAAGCTGAATTAAGCTCTATAAAAAAATAAAAGTTGCTCCTATCTCTTTGAGCAGCTTCCGAGAATCCAGGAATGCCCACATCCCGTACCTCATTCAGACATGGCCAATTCCTAATGCACAGCTACAATGGGAAGCATAAAAAATCCCTTGCTAATTTTTAGGGCATGGGGAGGATTGGGCTCTGGGAAAGACGCAGGATGGGTATTTTTCTCCCTCCCCCCACTTACAAAGACTATGTATCTACACACACACTCAGACACACACACACTCAGACACACACACATCCACGTTCAAGGGAGTTTTTCTTCCCTGACTACAGGACCCCAGGATCCAGCCTCCCCAGGCTGAGACAAAGTGCCTTTTAACTGCACACATGTGGTATACCAACATACTGCAGAAGGCTCCTGTGTGCTCTCAGAAATTGAGAGAGGGCAGGGGCAAAGGGCATGGATACTCAGGGGGGGATTCACTTCTTGTCTGAAATCCAATCTACTCAGAAGCACTCTTAGGTCCAGGCTCTGGGAGAGGTTCTGTGGGCAGGATATGGTGGATGACCTGATGGTCCCAGCCCACTGTGGTAAGAAGGGAGTGATTGAGTGGGGACCAAGTAGCATCTCTCACAAAGTCTCTGTGGGCTCGGCTTCTAAACCTACAAGAGAACAAAGAAAAGTGTGGGCTTGGTAAGAGACAGAAGGAAACAGAAGAAATGGAAAGACAAGGAGCACTAGGAGAGAAGGAGAAGGTTTCGAAAGGTAAGTCCATAGGTATCAGGACACAATCTGACTGGGCAGTCCCCAAACCCCACTCTAAAGTCACCAGAGAAGGTAGCTTGATCCCCACTTTGGTTTAAAACCTGACTACCACTCAAGTCTACAGTACAAGTTCCAAGGGAAGATGAGGAAAACGGAACAAAGCTAGGGCTGACAGCCATCCTTGCAACTAACCATCCCATCTGGTCCCTCCCTGTAGCTTCAGCAATAACCCAGAAACACAGGATTTCCAACCACACAGCCCTGGAAGCCCATAGTATCAGTCATTTGGGGTGTTGAGCAGGAACAAGACCATGTTTTAGTCATTTACAGTCAGAGACCATACAACCCAAAAAATGGACTACAGTCTTAAGAGATCTTTCACTTATTAAGGTCTTGAACTAAAAGAGTGCCTGTTTAAGGAGCCACCCAATCAGCTAATGCTAAGCCAACACAAGTACTCTCCGTCACTCTTCCTTTCACATCTCCCAGGCCCTTGATGACAAAGGGCAGTACCTGTGTGGGGAGAACGCCAGCCCAGTGACACACTGGGAGTGCACGACGGAGCTGAGGGCACAGCGTGCACTCTTGGTGTCCACAAGCGAGACAGTCCCGTTCTCATCACCTGAAGGAAGAGGGAGTGTGTCAAGGGGGTTAAGAGAATGGGCTTTGGACTCAGCCAGATCTGGATTTGAATGCTGGTTCTTCAATCTTGATGAAGTTAACCATTCTGAGCATCCATTTCCTCTTCGGTAAAGTAGGAATAGTCAGTCATTTGAGGGTTGTGAAAATTAAAACTGTTGGATGAGATAACTGTTGTGTTAACTACAAACTACGTCACAGTATACACAACCAGATCACCATGTTAGCACAGCTATTCCATACTATACAATAGGATTCCCTATGTAGCAATCCTCTGGCTTTGTGGCCCACTGACTTCTAGCCATGAATGTAAGAGCCACAGCAAACAGTAAGGAATCAAATCTACTAGGACAAAAATTATCATGTTCTTCAAAGCTAAACTAAAACTACTTCTGGATCATCCTACCTCTGCACACCCCCATTAGCATAATTCACTAAGTGCTCAAGTGTGCAGATAGACTGAGCAGCCACAGCCTCGTTTACTATGGAGTGAGCTTTCTTGCTTATTCTCCCCTTCCCAGAGTCAACACACACTTGGACGTGCTGCCTTACCAAAGACAAAGACTTCACTCTGCTGAGGATGCCAAGTCAGGGAGGTAGGAAGGTAGCCAGAGGCACCGCAGCCTGTGAAGGAGAGAAGAGGAGTATGGAACAAGACTCTGACCTCAGCTCCGAGAAGAAGCTTCGGTGGTGAAGTCACTCTAGGTCTCAGGAGCACTTTTATTCAGTTTCCCAAGACCTGCTGAGACAGTCCCATCCTCACTCTTAACCCTCACAACCTACATCTACCTATCAGCCTCCTGCTCTTTCCAGACCCGAGTCACAGGCAAGTTTCAACATAAAGCATGAAGTTGACAACTCTGGCCCCTTTATTCACCCATCCAGGAACTATAAATTACCCCCACCCTCAGGAACTAGCCCTTCCTCTTGGGACCCACTGCACAACATGAACCTCAGCGGGAAAGAAAGCAATTGGATCATTCATGTCAGTGACTGGGCATCTGGTAGCTTTGCCTTTGACTCTGGCCAAGGAAAGATTCTTCCAGGTGGGTTCCTAGCACCATCATCCCACCACCAGCTCTCAGACTCACCCATCTGTGATGCTGGCTTTGGACAGCGGGTATCCCACAGTAAAATTCTACTGTCCTAGAAGAAGGAATAGAAAAAGGGCTTCACAATCCAAAAACAGCTGCTGACCAGAAGCCGTCCATGCTAGACTTAAGTCTGAAGGGTTTGGGTGTGGTCAGGGGGTGGGAAGAGGAAAGTGGCTATATCTTACCTCACCACATGAAAGAAACACAGAATCCTTGTGGGGAGAGGCAGCAACACAGGTGACCTGCCCAGAGTGAGCTACAGAGGAGAGAGAACAAGAAGTATGACAGGACTTCACACTGAGACGAACGCGATCTTATCAAGAAGCCCAGATACTATCAAGGGGTGGGAGGGAGGGTGTGAGAACTAGCCCTAGCTAGTCTCATGACGCAAATGAACAAAGACAAAACCTAAGAGGAAATGTTGATAGCATTATAAAACCTCAGTAGACTTGCAAGAAAATGAATGGCTAAAGACATGAGTTTGAGTAAGCTCTGGGAGTTCGTGATAGACAGGGAAGCCTAGCATACTGAAGTCCATGGGGTCACAGAGTCGGACACAACTGAGCGACTGAACTGAATGGAACTGAAAGACATGAATGTTAAAGGCTGAGTCTGATCGGTGGAGGAATTTACAGTAAAGACAGCCTAGAACAGCACAAGCACACATGCCTCCAAGTAGCATACAAAGACTTTCAAGGAAGTCCTGGACACTCGAAGGTTTAAGGGAATTTCTCCAATGTTTCCTCTCCATACCAAACTAAGAAGCTGCCTATGGTCTGCCAGCACTGCAGACCTCGACTCTCATAGTCATCCTTCTCCCATGTGTAGAAGAAACACACACCTCTCCTCCACCCCAAACTTTATCATGGTGTGATGTTCGGAGTAAAAAACCTAAATAATAAAACAAAAGGGGGGTTTTGTAAGAGCCAAAGAACAAAAGAAAGAGCATCTGGGTAAAATTCTGTGAAGGAGGCTGAACTTTGTTGGCCACACCACAAACACAAGTATTTAGGTACTAATTTAAAAACATGTGAAAGGGTACAGCTTTTCAAAATTCTTTCAGGGCTGCAGGCTAAGAATGTTAAACTAACTTAACGTTAAATTAACTAAATGTTAATTACAAGCTGTGGAAACCACCTTCTCCAAAGTGATTTAACCATATTCTAAGATAGATGTGGCTCTGCCTTGAGATAGAAGGGTGGGTTCAAGCCACCTTCAATAGAATCCACGGAAAGCCAACATTATGAACAGGAATGTACTGCTCACTTGAAAAAAATCTTTGGGGCAAGCACCATGGTGGAGGACGAAAGATGAAAAACTACGTGCTGCCTCTGCCTTTAGGGAATTTGAAATCAGTGGGGGGAATAAGAATAAACACAAAGAACTGTCACAACATTGTAAATCAACTATATTTCAATTTTTTTTAATTTAAATTTAAAAAAAAAAAAGAATGAAAAAGACCGGAAGGGGCAAGTGCTTATTTAGCATTGGCCAGAAAACATATCATATGTCTAGGAAACAAAAGGCTAGTAGAGTAGACTTTGAACACTGGCATTTTAACATTATTGTCTAACTATCTGAAACTCCAGGAGATGTGTGAGTCTGTGGTTTTGCTTTGCACGTATCTGAATCATACACTTTGAAGTCAGAATTGGCAGAGATACACAGTGAGGGAACCAGTTATCACCTAAATCTACGTCTTTCAGTTACATATACATTAATAATCTATACATTATCTGCATTAAGATCTGGTATCTTCATGAAGAATGGCTCCCCAAACAAAGTTAACTGCTAGTGCTGTTAATGAAAGTTAGCAAAAAGGGGAATGTTAATAGAAAATGATGGCTCTCACCCTGCAAAAACAAGATTTTATGGAGGGGAATGCTCAGAAACTTTGAGATTCATGAGTATCAAGAGTTTATACTTGGAGAATGCCTAAGATGTACTATGACTGGGTTTAGATAGCACGATATGCTTGAAGGAGGAATGACAGTAAAAAGGCTTGAATGCCATGATGTGAACCTGAGATATTAACCTGCAAGCTACAAGAAAGCAATGAAAGACCAAAGATGACGGGTCATGAGATGAAATGAGTGCCATGGTGTAGGTGAGATAAAGACTGAATGTAAATGGGAGCATTAAGAAATGAAAAGGAAGGTCACTGACCAAATGGAAAAAAATTCCAAAGAACTTGGAGACCAACTGACAGAAGGAAAAAGGAGGAGTGGAAGAGGACAGGGAGTTTGAGCCTCAGGTGATCAAGAAGGTGATGAGCCTGTCAATTATAAAAATATAGGGGGATTAAAAGCTAGAGTCAACATTGGGACTTGACAATAGTTTTGGAAGAAAACTACCAGGCAGGAGAGCAAAGAATTGGTGTCACTGACATCCAAGGAAAGTTAAAAGAGCACAAAGGAGAGAATAATAGCTAAGACAGGGACTAAAAAGGAAAGAAGATGCACTCACCTCGGTATGAATTCAGAACCATCTGCTGAGCAAGGTCCCAAACCTTGATGCTAAGAAGCAAAAAGAAACAGACTTAATTTGACCTACACTATATATATAAAAACATGTATTCAAACATGTATTCTTACAACTTTGTCATCTACTGAACTTCTGGTACAGTCTACTTTTACAATGGACTGCAAAATCTCTAAGAAAACCTTATAAGAAACCTTATAGGTATGCCATAATTAGTCACTGGGTTCTTATAATGAGCCCAAAACATTACTTAATGAGGCTAATGTGACACTAAAGACACCCAAAGAAGGCCCAGAAACAAGAAGAATGAGAGCGGGGACCCACCAGAAGTCTTTGCTACCACTGACAGCATGTGTGCCAGAGCTCAGGACACTGACTGTAGACACGATGTCATCGTGCTCATACTTGCAGAATTTGCTGACAATGAGCGTCTCATTCTCATCCAGCTCCCACAATTCAACAGCACCTGTTGGGGGTGGGGAAGACAGTGAAGGAAACAAGCTGGGGTTACACTAAGACAGCACTTCACTTCTAGGATGCTAAGTTCTCCAGAGGTAAGGATGACATCTCCACAATGATATAAAAAGCACAGAGTTTAGTATGATTAAATATTCCCAGTTATTTGGACATTAATTGTCCCACCTTTATCCTTCCATGCAATGCCTGCCAACACCTCTATTCTTTTTTTTTTTTTTTAACATGAAAGCCTCCACTGCTAAGTCTGACATTCAAAACAAAGAAAGCAGGATGAAGATACATAAGAAACTGGGGAGACGGAAAGAGCACAGATTGGTTTCAGCATCATCTTTAAGATCAACATCATCCTTGATCTTGGGTGGATACAGAGAAAAACAGTTTCATTCATGTCCTAATTTTGTTATGAATTTTGCTAGAAATTTCCACCAATTTAGAATCTTGGGACAGGTATATCCTACCTACACAGTTATTCTCCTTTGGGACCAAAACCTTCAAGCTCCCCCAAGCACACAGTATGTTGTTGCTGTTGTTCAGTCTCTAAGTCACATCAAACTCTCTGTGACCCCATAGGCTACAGCACGCCAGGCTTCCCTGTCCTTCACTAACTCCTTGAGTTTGCTCAAACTCACGTCCAGTGACGAGTCAGTGATGCCATCCAACCATCTCATCCTCTGTTGTCCCCTTCTCCTCCTGCCTTCAGTTTTTCCCAGCACCAGGGTCTTTTCCAATGAGTTGGCTCTTTGCATCAGATGGCCAATGTACTGGAGCTTCAGCATTAGCCCTTCCAAAGAATATTCAGGGTTGATTTCATTTTGGATTGACTGGTTTGATCTCTCAAGAATCTTCTCCAGCACTGCAGTTCCAAAGCATTAATTCTTTGGTGCTCAGCCTGCTTTATGGTCCAACTCTCACATCCATACATAACGAAAAAAATGTAGTTTTGACTATATGGACCTTTGTGGGCAAAATGATGTTTCTGCTTTTTAATATGCTGTCTAGGTTTGTCACAGCTTTTCTTCCAAGGAGCAAGTGTCTTTTAATTTCATGGCTGCAGGCACCATCCACAGTGATTTTGGAGCCCAAGAAAATATATATATATATATTTTCATTTATTTTTATTAGTTGGAGGCTAATTACTTTACAATATTGTAGAGGTTTTTGCCATACATTGACATGAATCAGCCATGATTTACATGTATTCCCCATCCCGATCCCCCCTCCCACCTCCCTCCCCATTCCATCCCTCTGGGTCTTCCCAGTGCACCAGTCCTGAGCACTTGCCTCATGCATCCAACCTGAGCTGGTGATCTGTTTCACCCTTGATAGTATACTTGTTTCAATGCTGTTCTCTCAGAACATCCCACCCTCGCCTTCTCCCACAGAGTCCCAAAGTCTGTTCTGTACATCTGTGTCTCTTTTTCTGTTTTGCATATAGGGTTATCATTACCATACTGTCCAGTTCTAATTTTCCACATCCAGTTCTAACTGTTGCTTCTTGATCTGTATACAGGTTTCTCAGCTAAAGTAGTCTGATATTCCCACCTTTTTAAGAATTTTCCACAGTTTACTGTGATCCACATAGTCAAAGGAATTAGCATAGTCAATGAAGCAGAAGTAGATGTTTTTCTGGAATTCTCGAGCTTTATCTATGATCCAGTGGATGTTGACAATTTGATCTCTGGTTCCTCTGTCTTTTCTAAATCCAGCTTGACCGTCTGAAGTTCTGGGTTCACATACTGTTGAAGCCTAGGTTGGAGGATTTTGAGCATTACCTTCCCAGCATGTGAAATGAGTGCAATCGTGTGAATCTGAACATTCTTTGGCATTGCCCTTCTTTGGGACTGGAATGAAAACTGACTTTTTCCAGTCTTGTGGCCACTGCTGAGTTTTCCAAATCTGCCAGCATACTGAGTGCAGCACTTTAAATGCATCATCTTTTAGGATTTGAAACTGCTCACCTGGAATCCCTCCACCGAGCATGGGGCATTAAAAATTGACCTATACCTAGCCCGACCTATACCCCAAGCCTCCATTCCACCTGTACAGCTAGCAAGTGACTCACCTGAATCAGAAGCCACTAGGATACCTCGGTCCCCTACCCAAGTAAGGTCAGCCACTCCAGCTTCCGTCTGGACTCCAGCAGAGCAGAAACCTTCGTTGGGGGCGGCACAAGGGTCCTTGAAAAGCCAGAGAGAGCCAGCCCAGCAGCGGCCACTCAGGCTAGAAGCCCCAAGCAGGAGCGCCCCATCTAAAGGAGATACAAGATGTCAGCAAGAGGACTGGAAGGGCTCGTTTCCCTGGTAACCGCCCAGCAGCCAGCTAGCTGGATCTGGACCCGAGCCGGGAACGCAGGGCATGGCTGGGTGAACTCAGAGAAGCGAAGCAGGGATCAGGCTGGCAAGCGGGGAATCGAGGTGCGGGCTGGAAGGTTTATTCCCGGGAAGGGGCACTCCGGGGTGGGGTAAGGAAACTCCCAGGCCTAGGACCCAGGCTCACCAGACCGGTACCGCGCAGCCTCCAGTTGCCGCTCCATACAGGCGGGAGCATTAGGGGGAAGGTTCCACTCCCGGGCTGCCGGGGGCAGTAGGGGGGTAGGTGTTTCCTTCCGCATCTCCACGGTTCCAACTTCAATCTAGACCCAAATTGGATGCCCGCCTGAGATTCAGCTCCAGGAGTCCCCACGTGGTTCCTCACTGGGCCTCCGCCCCTCTAGACAAGCTACAGCCTCCCTACATCTCGCGAGATCTGCTTCTAAGACTCCAGTCGGCTTTCCCGCCAGCACCCTCCTGCAACGGGCGCTCTGCTTCTTATCGCGAGGGGGAAAAAAAGACCGGAAGTTGAAAGAGAGGGCACGAAGTTCTCTTCTCACGAGATTTGTGAGCGTCCATCTTGCTTCTGTCCCTGACAGGTTCTTCTGTCGGGGTCACTGTGGCGGGTAGATTGCTGTGTGGACGCTACCTGAGAATGCTGTCCCGGGTGGTACTTTCTGCCGCCGCCTCAGCAGGTGAGAGGTACACACCCTGGTCCGGAATAGCAGAGTGATTGTAAAACAAGGCGTCTGAGGTTGCTTGTAGCGGGTAGGAGGAAAGGGCGTGAAGAAAAGCGCAGTGAGACTTGGGTCTGAGTGGAGAGTGAGTAGCGCCGCTCAGAAGGTGAGTGTGGGGTGTTGGGGCGAAGGAATGAGGAACGCGTGGCCTTAGTGATTGAGCTCTGTGGGGCCGAGGAAGGGGCAAATCAGATTTCACCGTGACCTTGCTAACCTGCGCCTTGTATTTTTGTAGCCCCCTCTCTGAAGAACGCAGCCCTCCTCGGTCCAGGGTAAGTATGAGGGATGTAATATTTCCTTTCATCCTTGCTTTATCACCTCATTTCACTTCTAGGTTAATCTGCTCTTAGCTTTAGGCCAGTAATTACCTTTATTTTGGTTTTATTGGAACACTTAACGTCTAATTCACGCGTGATCCTATAACTGCCTGGAACACTTAATAGCAGAGGTTAAGAGAAAAAGTAATGTGTTCTATCTAAACTGTTTAGAAACTGGTTTTGGTGTCTCCTAAGCCCCGCCCCTCTCCCTTGTGACCTTCAGCTAGACAGAGCTGCCGCAACCTGAATCGGGGTTACTAGATTGCACACTCAAGGACAAGTTTTGTTAAATAAAAAAGTTAAACATGTAGTTTTTAATCTGTCTCCCAGATTCTAACTTTACTGTCAGATCAGAGAAATTTTTCAGCGTTTCAGCAAATATTTATCTTGCCCCTCCATAACCAAAGATACAGAAATGAGTATGGTTAAGTACCTACCTTCACACAGCAGAGGAGGTAGCTATAGAGTAGTTTACAATGAGGACTCCGAAGCTGAGAGTAAACCTGGCTCCTCTGCTTAACAAGCTGTGGGACCTTAATTTCTCCACCTGCAAAACAGAGATAATAGTACGTTATGGATTATGAGAATTAAGGGATATAATTCCTGGGAACTCTAAAAACAGTACTTGGTACATAATACGTGCTTAGTAAATGTTAGAACCTGTTATTAATATTATTTCATAAAACATGTCAGTTTTCTTTGGAATTTCTTTTTACTTCCAGACTTCATCCTAAATCTTGCAAAATTTGGTAACGGTCCTGTGTCTTGAAAAGGTGGTTTTGGTTTATCTGTAGTTAAATAAAGTGAGACTAATTGGTTGCTTCCAACTTCTCAAAGTAGAAAGATTCCATATAGACACATAAACAACTCTTTGTAGTATAGGTAATAAATACATACATAAGATGTGAGGAACATCCTTGATTTCTCTTTCACATTTCATATCTAATGCATTCATAAGGCTCTTCTTTCTTCTTATATCCAGACTCTGACCACTTCTCTCACTACCACTACTACTGGAGTGTGAACCACCATCATGTTCCATCTAGGCTATTTCATTTGTCTCCTAACTAGTCTACTTAAATCTATATTCTTCTCCATTACAGGCCGTTCTCACAGGAGTCACAGGGATTATGTCATTTCCCCACCCTTCCTTTGAAAGCCCTCCAGAGCTGCCTGTCCCACTTGAAATAAACCAAATTTAAAATAACCAAGAAGGTTCAACATGAGTTGACCCCATCCTACCTCCTGATTTACCTTCTTACCTTCTGTTTTTAGCTCATTTTTCAGCCATACTGACGTTCTTGCCATTCTTTCAAAAACTGCCAAGCTTATTGTTGCCTCAGGATCTTTGTACTTGCCCTTCTCTCTTTTCCCGGTCATTAGCTCAGATGTCACCTAATCTCTCCCAAAAAAGCCTCTCTCCCCTCCACCCATTGCTCCTTAGCCCTTTCCCTCCCTAATTTATGTGGAATTTACAGCTGTCTGAAATTGTGTGTGCGCCTATACGTTCACACACTCCAAACCCCCATTAGAACATCTAAAGCTGAGACTTTGCTTATTGTTATACTGTTGGTGCCTAACATAAGTAGAGAGTCTGTAAGTGTTTTGTTAAGTGAATCAGTGTTGGTCCACAATTGGAGAAGCATTTGTAAAGGATACACTTGAGATATTCTAAAGGCTGGTTGGTCTTGGCAGTCCTTAAATGAAAAGCATACCAAGTAGAAACAGCATGAGGCAGTCTTTTTTATTTTGAAAACTGTGCACGTTAAGTCTCTTCAGTCGTGTCTGACTCTGCGACCCCACGTACTGTAGCCTGTCAGGCTCTGTCCATGAGATTCTCCAGGCAAGAATACTGGAGTTGGTTGCTGTGCCCTCCTTCAGGGGATCTTCCTGACCCAGGGATCAAACCTCAGTCTCCTGCATTACAGGCAGATTCTTTACAATCTGAGCCACCAGGGAAAGCTGTCAGTTCAGTTCAGTCGCTCAGTCGTGTCCGACTCTTTGCCATGGACTGCATCACGCCAGGCCTCCCTGTCCATCACCAACTCTAGAGTTTACTCAGACTCATGTCCCTTGAGTCGGTGATGCTATCCAACCATCTCATCCTCTTTTGTCCACTTCCTTCCACCCTCAATTTTTCCCAGCATCAGGGTCTTTTCAAATGAGTCCACTCTTCGCATTAGGTGGCCAAAGTATTGGAGTTTCAGCTTCAACATCAGTCCTTCCAANCCAGTCTGTTGTTCCATGTCCAGTTCTAACTGTTGCTTCCTGACCTGCATACAGGTTTCTCAAGAGGCAGATCAGGTGGTCTGGTTTTCCCATCTCCTTCAAAATTTTCCACAGTTTGTGGTGATCCACATAGTCAAAGGCTTTGTCATCGTCAGTAAAGCAGAAATAGATGTTTTTCTGAAACTCTCTTGCTTTTCCAATGATCCAACGGATGTTGGCGATTTGATCCCTGGTTCCTCTGCCTTTTCTAAAACAAGGTTGAATATCTGAACATCTGGGAAAACTGTAAGTAGTTGCATATGGCTGGAGAGTAGGAGAATGAAGGAAGAGGAGGCTATAAAACTTGACAGGTGCTGAAACATGTATACTATATTAAGTACTTTGTTTACTATGGCCAGAAGAGAGCCTGTTGGAGAGTTTTAAAGTCACGTTTGTATTTTAAAACCTTTAAAAGCAACAGGGAGGGACTGGGTTGAAGGGGTATTTGAGGAGAAGCCAAGAGACCAGGTTTTGATTGTTAACTTTCTTAGGCAAGAGTAGCTAAGGGCTTGAACTGAGGCAGCCAGTTAGGGAGAGGATTTGTGTCCAACTAAAACAAGTTCTTTTTTTAAAAAATTATTTATTTTTAAATGAAACAAAAGATGAATATGTTAATGATAAAAGGTAAAATTCACAATAAAGCACGTTCTTTAGTGCTATGATTTAAATCAGTTCTCAACCTGGGACAGTTTTGCTCTCCGGGGGACTTCTGACAATGTCTAGAGATGTGTTTGGTTGTCAGCACTGGGTAGGAGGAGGGATGCTACTGGCACCTGACGTATAAATGATGCTGCTAACTACAGTGCCCAGAAGAGCTTTCCACAGCAAAGAATTGTCAGTTGTCCAAAATGTCAGTAATGCTGAGGTTGAGAAACCCTGATTTACCTAATGAATCTCGAGCATGACTCTAGGATTTCAAAAGTCAGTATGGTAGCTCATAATACATTGGGAAGCAACAATATTTGGAAGACAAGCAATGAACCATAATCAGTGAAATAACATAAACTCTTACATTGCAAGGAGATGAGAGAGAGAATGGGGAGGTGAGGAACAAAATCATACTGATAATTTGAAAGAGATTAAACCTGACAGCAGATACAAAAAGACTGGAGGATTTTATTTCATCAGAATCTTAATAAGACACCAGTATGCTGTAGCTGTTAAAATGCAATCTTAAGTTACTTTAAGACAGGAATCGTTTGCAAATTCATGTAACAGTGCAGTAGTTAAAGCCCAGTAATGGCAATAGCAAGTTCTCAGTTTGTGTTTGTAGAATGAGTGGATTGGTCAAGCTATACTTAGAGTATCATGTTCAGTTCTTTATACTTCATTTTTTTAAACAAAACCAGATTGCTGCTTGTGATGAACAATCAGGTTTGTGAAGGAACTGAGATGTTTGTTTAACCCAGATACATGGGTGTTATTTTACATAAGAAATGAATAACATTGGAATTAATCAATAGAAGTTTTAAGGATGTACGTAGCAGTTCAAAGGATGAACATAGAGATATCCAACACTGCAAAAGCATGTATCACTTAGTGGCTGTTTAGCACCCTGTCACAGAGTATTCAGAAAGATCAAAGTTCTTGCCATCAGGGAGCTCACAACACAGTGGCCATGTAGTAACTAACCACTTACATAAAACTTTAACATATGCCAAGCACCATTCAATATACTTTACATTTTTTAACTCAGTTAATCCTCACAACAACCTTCTAAGGTCATATTCTTTATTTTACTTTACTTAGAGACACAGATTACAAAGGCATAAATTAGAATTTGAACCCAGATAGTCTGGCTGCAGAGTCTATGTTCTTACATATTTTAGTGCTGGCAATAGATGTGTAAGGTGCTAGACAGATGATCTATGAGATTTCACAGAGGAACTCTAGTATTGGATAGATTACATAAAGCTTTAAGTAAGTTGTTTCCCCTTGTCACAGCTAATTAGTAGAGCCTGGCCTTCCTGTTCTTGGTTTGTTCTCTCTCCATTGGGACAGTGGGAAACTACCTTAATCCTCGTCCCTATTCATTCTTTCTACAATAGTTTATATGTTGTGTTCTCTTTAAAGAATGGGCTTTAAATGTGTATAATTCTCACCTGTAGGGCATTGCAGGCAGCGAGGATCTTGCACACAGGGCAGCCAAGTCTTGCCCCTGTGCCACCTCTTCCTGAACATGGCGGAAAAGTTCGTTTTGGGCTGATCCCTGAGGAGTTCTTCCAGTTCCTTTATCCTAAAACTGGTGTAACAGGTGAGCATTTGCCCAGTGTTTGATAGTATGTTTGGATGCTCTGGTTTATGTTAATCTCGAATTTTAGTGGCTTCTTATCTTTTCCACATTCTCCAGAAAAAAAAAAAAAAAATCAGCTGCTTTCAAAAGTAAAGTGCGGAAGTGATTCAGTGTAACAATTGATTTGATTGCTTTAACTTGTCTTTGGAGTAATTTTGTTGGGGATTTTAGCTTGATTTTGTAGCATTGACTCTTGTTGATAAACCAAATTTATTGAATGCCTGCCCTATCCTAGGCACTGTTCCAGGCATACAGTGGTGAACTAAAGTGCCTACCATCATGGAACATATTTTCTTTTGTAGGATAGACAATAAAGAAATGAGTAACTGGGGAATTTTTTGGCACTCCGGTGGTTAGAACTTGTGCTTTCACAGCAGGGGCCCAGGTTTGATCCCTCTTTGGGGAACTAAGATCCCTCAAGCCATGTAGAGTGGCCAAAAGAAAAAAAAAAACAGAATAACCATAAAATGCACTTTCAGGTAGTGATGGAAAGAACTATGGATAAACATAAAGCCAGGTAAGGCAATAGAGACTATGTATTATATGTATAATTGTGTGTGCAATTATGAAAAAAAGAACTGGACTGGACTTAACAGTTTTTTCTTTTCTTTTCTTTTCTTTTTTTTTTCAGTTTTTTCCTCTTAAAAAGGCCTAACCTGTCCTGAACTCTTTCATTTTTGTAATGTGATATGCTTTCACTTTATTTAATCTGTATAACAGTTCTATGAAGACATTTTTATTACCCAGAAGAATTAGAAGACAACTTGCTGAGGTTTATTCTCTCTTTAGTGACTGAGTAGTACTTAAACATGGGTCCTCCAGTCAAGTTTAGTGTACTTTTTATTACACATACCCAATTAATAGATAGTATATTTTGCTACACAAATTATTCTCAAAGTAACTTGACATTTTTATAAACTACTTCCTGTTTGTTAAGCATTTATACTAGACACTATATACATTGTTTTTTAGTTACATCAATCCTATGAAGAAGGTACTATTCCCATTTTATAGTTCAGGAAACTAAGCTCAGAGATCATCTGTATTGTCCAGTGTTGCTAAANATTACTCAGCCATTAAAAAGAATTCATTTGAATCAGTTCTAATGAGATGGATGAAACTGGAGCCCATTATACAGAGTGAAGTAAGCCAGAAAGATAAAGACCAATACAGTATACTAACGCATATAAATGGAATTTTAAAAGATAGTAACGATAATCCTATATGTAAAACAGAAAAAGAGACACAGATGTACAGAACAGACTTTTGGACTCTGTGGGAGAAGGCGAGGGTGGGATGTTCTGAGAGAATAGCATTGAAACAAGTATACTATCAAGGGTGAAACAGATCACCAGTCCAGGTTGGATGCATGAAACAAGTGCTCAGGGCTGGTGCACTGGGAAGACCCAGAGGGATGGGATGGGGAGGGAGGTGGGAGAGGGGATCGGGAAGGGAAACACATGTAAATCCATCGCTGATTCATGTCAATGTATGGCAAAAACCACTACAATATTGTAAAGTAATTAGCCTCCAACTAATAAAAATAAATCAAACTACAAAAAAAGAAAAATAAATAAATAAAAATCATCGGAGAAGTAGCTTATCTTATTGGTTAGAGACAATAAGCGCAGAGACTGACTCTAACAAGTCATCCTGAGACTGTTTTTTTCTTTTGTAAATAGTGAAAGGAATCAAAAACTTGAAGTGCAGAAGCATTGAAATATCCATCTAAGCCCACCCCTGCAAGAGCCCTGATCTCTGTATTTTTGTTTAAAAAGGACACTTATTTATTTACTTTGGGCTGCACTGGGTCTTTGTTGCTGGGCACGGGCTTTCCCTAGTTGTGGAGCGCAGGCTTCTCATTGTGGTGGCTTCTAGGGTAGCGGAGCACAGGCTCTAGCACACTAGGTCTCAGTAGTTGCAGCACATGGGCTTAGTTGCCCCGAGGCATGTGGGATCTGCCCAGACGAGGCATTGAACCCGAGTCCCCTGCATTGGCAGGCGGACTCTCAACCACTGGATTTCCAGGGAAAGCCTGACATCTGTATTTTCAACAAGCTCCTCAGGAGACAGTGAGGCTAGACCTGTGTAGGGTGAATGGACCACCAGGGGCCAGGGCTAAGCTAAGCCACGCGGGGGAGCTGAGCCAGGACACATTTGACAGAACAACCCAGTGAGAAGGGGGCTTCTGCCTCAATGCGTTAGTTCACAGAGAACTGATGGAGAAGGGAAGACATTGCTTCTCACGTTTACTTTTTAAAACCTGCTCTGTAAAATAATAGTAAATTGCCTTTCTGACTTACTGTGAGATATTTTAATGAGAAGATTTAAGATCTGTCCTTTGAATGAGAAATTGGGATAGTTCAAATTTTGAAGTTCACAGGTAGGACAATACCAGTGTCTGACAGATATAACTACCAACATCTCAAGATGCATAAAAATAGACAGGTCTCTTAAATGCCACATCTGTTAATAACTTTGCAGAGTTCAAAAACATCTCTGTAGTTCTTTTAAAGTCTTGTAATTAGCTGTTTCAGCCGAGATTTAGCAAAATAGAACATATCCTGCTTCATGAGTAGAATGTCTCTTCTTTTAATAACAAGATATCCCTTCAGGAAATATTTCACAGATCTCAAGATCATGTTTATTAATTTCTGCTGCACTTAATTAATTTAGTCCATCAGTCAGTTGGTCCATCAACAAACATCTTTAAATTCCTACTCTTTGCCAGACACTGTAATAAATGGTGCCAGAATAGAAAAATGACCAAGAGTTGACCCTTCTTCTTTAGGAGATTGGAGTCTAGTAGGGACAGATAAAATAAGATAATGATTTAAAAAGAGTGTGGTGTGTGGTTTGCTAGAAAGAAGCGGAAGAGGCAAAGAATTAACTGATCACACACTTAAGAACTGGAATAAGTCTGTCTTAGAGAAAAGAATACTCTTTGTGGTTAATTATAGCCTGGTTCTTCCTGGAAGTGCCCAATCCATATTTCCCTTCTTTCTTAGGTAATCTGAATATAAGAAAAGTGTTATGAGCCTAGTGGCTCAGCAGTAAAGAATCTGCCTAAACTGTAGGAGACCTGGGTTTGATCCCTGGGTTGGAAAGATCCCCTAGAGAAGGAAAAGGCTACCCACTCCAGCATTCTGGCCTGGAGAACTCCATGGACTGTGTAGCCCATGTGATTGCAAAGAGTTAGACATGACTGAGAGACTTTCACTATCCACTATGAATTTGAAAATGTTGATCCTTGTTTTTGCCTTTTCCCTATAGACATATTTCTTTTGAAAAATGCATAATTCTAAGAGATTTATTCTAAACCAAAAAGTCTATTTCTTCCACAATAACAAAGATCCTAACCTAGAACACAGATGGTAATGGAGAGGAACAGATGGAGTTAAGTGATATTATGGAGGCAGATAAGTGGGTCTGACTCATTTATAGATGATGAGTGATAAGAGAGAGTAGAGGATACTTCCCAGGGACCTGTAACAAGTGATGAGGAACACAGTGATGTCATTAACCAAAATACAGAAGCAAGAGAAGCTTCAAAAGACAACATGTGTCTCTACTTCTATTTTGCAAATAAGATCATCTCTACCATTTTTCTGGATTCCACACATATATGTTAATATACAATATTTATGTTTCTCTTTCTGACTTATTTCACTCTGTGTGACAGTCTCTAGGTCCCTCCACATCTCTACAAATGACCCAATTTCATTCATTTTTATGGCTGGGTAATATTCCATTGTATATATGTATGACATCTTCTTTATTCATTCCTCTGTTGATGGACATTTAGGTTACTTCCATGTCCTGACTATTGTAAATGGTGCTGCAATGAACATTGGGGTGCATATATCCTTTTGAAATATGGTCTTCTCTGGGTGTATGTTCAGTAGTGAGATTGCTGAAACATATGGACACCCAGCAGGTAGGATGGAGGTAGGATGAATTGGGAGACTGGGATTGATACATATACACTATTGATACTATGTATAAAATAGATAACTACTGAGAACCTACAGTACAGCTCAGAGAACCCTTCCCTGGTGGCTCCAGTGGTAAGGAACCCACCTGCAGTGCGGAAGACCTGGGTTCGACCCCTGGGTTGGAAAGATCCCCTGGAGAAGGAAAAGGCTACCCACTCCAGCATTCTGGCCTGGAGAACTCCATGGACTGTATATTCCATGGGGTCGGAAAGAGCTGGACAGACTGAGTGACTTTCCATTTCCTTTCAATGCGAGACTACAGTATAACTCAGACCTCTATTCAATGCTCTGTGGGGACCTAAATGAGAAGGAAATCCAGAAAAGAGGGGATGTATGTGTACATATGGCAGATTCACTTGGTTGTACAGTAGAAACTAATGCAACATTGTAAAGCAATGATACTCCAATAAAAATTAATTTCAAAAAGTTAAAAAACTAAAGGAAACCAAAGACAAAAAGAAAAAAGAAAATGCACATTGTTTGAGGCATATCAAATTGAAAGTGCTTTTAGTTACTATCATTCAAGGGGATGTTGTACAGAAAATTGAAAGTATGGGCTAGAGCTCAGCAGGGAGAATGAGTTAGCCATAAAGATTTGAAGATCTTCAATGTATCAGTGATAATGATATCTTGACTTCGATACCCACTGAGGTAAGAATCCTTTGCATTTGATGGCATGTGGTGATTTTCTAAGCACATCTAAAATATAATATCCATCTGAGGTATGTGGTTCAAAAGCAGTGATTCCCATTTTACAGATGAGTACAGTAAGAACAAACAGGTTAATACTTGCCCAAATTCACATGTCCACTCCAGAACTCAGATGTGCTGGATCCAGTTCCAGTGTTCTTTTATTAGTTCATATTGACTCATAATGAAACCATTGTCTGTAAAGTCGTAGGGAAGGCCTAAATACTGTGCTCTCCAACAGGTGACCCTAAGCACTCAGAAACAAATTTCAAATTCTCCATTGCATAAACTCATAACCCCTTAAACACACACAA